TATATCAAATGCCTGCTATTATATTAGATACAGCGTTACTTGAAAAATAGCTTTCACCGAAATGCGAGTGTAGTTTGATTGTATTAAAGTTATGTTTATGGACGACTGTTTGTATACACAGTAGCAACCATCTATTGGGGTGCAAAGCTGGTTACCGAAACGTCGTTTATACGAGTATTAAATACGTCTCATACAAATGGTCAGTGGCCAATATAGCTACAGTACGATGAATCGACCACTGTCATTAATCGTAAGAGAATTACTAGATGCCCTCTAGGTCATCTTGTATCATAGGAGTTCGGAGAAAACGTCAGTACAGGAAGGAGGAGCGAGCATAAGAATGGATAATTGACCCGCCAGTCCTACTTGCAGACAGACGGTTTATGTGACTTCCTGATACGAACAAGTGGGTCACGACTATTCGCTCTGTGTCTGCATCACCTCAGCAGCATTACCATTCTTCCTGAGAGAACGAAGTACTGAAAATGATCTGCTCCACAGGGTTAGTTTATCTTGAAAATTCCATTTCACCAAGAACTCACTTAATGAATCAACAAATTTGCATAGAATCGAAAGACCTTCACAGCTTCACCTTTCCTACTTCTACAACAAAGCCGTGAACTAAACTGGTAACTTATACCACAGCCACATAAAACTGAAAAGATTTCGCTGGCAGTTGAACAGAAAATACATTTATGTCGACGTGTTAAAAATAATCCAGTTCAGAGACACCTCGGTTAATATACAAGAAGAGAATCATGATAATAACAACTGCTTATTAGATTTCTGCGTTAAACTGTTTAACCCCTTCCATACCACGAAAGACATACAACGATCTGAAACTAACTGATCACTCATCTCCACATATCTTTCATCTGTGACATCATCGAATCAAAATCCTTTCGACCATTTCTTGACACTTAAAACCAATTTGCAGAATCTCATGATCTTGTCTTACAAGCTGCAATTAGCACATAAAAGTAAAAAGCATCTGCTGGTTTTTACTTAACCATCTACAGTCCAGTGGTACCTATACGTACCACCTGCTGTAACTCTACCTTTAGTGTTTATGGGTTTCGCGTAACTTTCACTGTAAACAGAGATTATTTTCTTGTCTAAATTTAAGACGTTTATCTTTGTAAAGGTAAAGTGTTGTTTTCTCTTCGAGGTACGGACTGAGTTCTTAAATATTACGAGCTATGGCTTGAAAGGCTTAATTAGGTCACAACCGCGTTCTTCCATGTACTTCCAAATTAATTAATAATCCTATCACTTGACTCTGTAGTGTCTGAGCTACTGAAAACATCGTTAAATCATAATGCATTCCAACATTTGAGAAGAGAACTAAAATTTGTCTTCTCTGGCTTCAAACCGAACGTCCGTGTCCTGACAAATAACAGGCAGCGCCAGACATCGAATTAGCAGCGAGGAGTTTCAAACTAACCTACAACATGATTTCATGTTTTCATGGCTTCGAGTAGCCCTGGTGATGGAGGCAGCAAGTACATCTGAAAAGTTGGTAAACTTCAACCGCAACAACCCAGAAGACAGTCTGCAGCTTTTAGTATGACGCTGCAGGAAAAGTGTTGAGAACAATTTGGATTGCATCAGATACTGAAATGCAGCCTGACGACTCAGGATTTTTTGCAGTCAGGTGTGCTAATGTGAGTCATTTATCTTTCAGTTGACATTAGAAACAATTTCTAGACAGTACAGAGTCAGGCTGTGAAGCAACGACAAGAAATGAAAGTACCAAGTTATTGAGCACTATATAGCCTAATTCCAAATTATTGCATACGAAAAAAAATAAGTATTGTTACAAGACCTTGTCCTAAGGCACTCGAATCCAGCTGACTTTTTAGAATATGCTTTCGCAACGTCCATTTTTATAACATCCCATCATTCTTTATTGAAACACCAAATGGCATATTTCGACGACGTTTTCGTAATGATATTCCATTTGCTACACGGAGATAATACAGGACGCTAAATTACGCCACAAACGCCTTCTTCCAAATCCTTTACCTTTCATTGTTCACTGTTCAGTGACCTATCATTCGGTATTGCAGACTACTGTACGAGCTGCTGACAGCGCCTTCAAATAAACACAAATAAATAAGGGAAATTTGTCCCTGTGCGTAAACACAGCACCAAGAAAGCGTATGGGGTTCGTGGAGGGAAACTACAAACACACACAGACATACACAACTGAGGAGCACACTAATGGACATCAGCTCTACGCAGAAGGATCCTTTTTTGAGAAGCTAGTCGTAGTTCAGCTAACCAAGGAATTGGCCGCCTTTTATGGTGCACGAATGTTCATTTTCGTGTTCATAAAAGCCCAATTTTTGTCTCATTCCTGAAACAGGTGAGTCCAGTTATCATCACATGTTTTTTAAAGAGCCCAATTTTTGTCTCATTCCTGAAACAGATGAGTCCAGTTAACATCATCACATGTTTTTTAAATAACCATTTTAATATTATCCTGTCTTCTATGCCAGTCTCTCAGTTGGCATCGTACCTTCTGGTTGTCCGACCACAACTTTTCATGCACTTTCATTCCCCTCATATGTTCTACATGCCCTACCCATCTCATTCTTTGTTTGGTCATCTTGATAATATTTGACGCACAGTAAACATTCAAGCACTTTTCTCAAACTTTCTGTTACTATCTTGATAATATTTGACGCACAGTAAAAATTCAAGCACTTTTCTCAAATTTTCTGTTACCATCCTCTGCTTAGGTCAAAATATTCCCCATTTTTCAAATCACTTCAAGCTACGATCTCGCCTAAAGTTTCACACTGCAAAATAAAACAGTACGTCTTATATGGATACGTAGTTACCATGCCTCTGTCAGTAGACCCCGTTCAAGTGCCTCTGTCATTATCCCCACTTGCTCTGCAAGTACCGGCTAGGGCAGAGGAGCGCTGTGTTCGTATCTACCAAGAAAAGACAGTCGTGGGCCGCTTTAATCTTGGAACAACACGGATCTGGTCGAGTCAGATCACTGCTCTGAGACTGGTGTAAGATCTGTACATTACAGAGACACATTTTGCTCAGCCGGTCGCTAGGAGACACGATTATGGCGTGTCAACGAGACATCTTATACCTCGCTGTTGCAGTCTTGTTCATCATCGCAGTCTCTCAAGCGGCTGACGTCCCGAAATGTAAGTTTTAATGTGTTTTACTACACTGTAAAAATTGTCCATCACAGAAAAAATAGGAGACAAAATATGGGTTTAATTTAGTTCCATAACCTTCGTATCAAACTTTTTTGACACAATGCATATTTAACGAAATAAAATATATCAACAATATTTACTATCAGCAATATATTTCTGTCAGTAACAAATTAATATATTGTACCTACGCAAGATTGGAAATTGACATTCAGAAAACGTGTACTCTACTGGAATACACTACGTTGAACTTTAATCACTAAATAAATTTAGTTAGTTCTTTTTCTTCTCTTCATCAGCTAACACGTATCAGCCGATCTGATTCAGAATTAATCCTCACTTATAATCGTATAGGCATTTAAACATGTATAAAAATGGCTGTCATCTGTAGCGTCATGTAGTCTGATAGCAGATTACCGACGTTTGAGGGGAGTTTACTGCGATTTACTTAACGTCACTGATTTAACTGCATCGTCAAATGAAATGAAAACTTTTTGGTAATAGCGAATAGACAGAAAACTTTAAAACCGCCATCATTATCTATTTAAAGTTATTATTCCGGCTTTCTCCTACAAATCCTGAGAAAAACACTGAACTTCCCAGTATGGCTAGTCTGTAGTCGGCCGAGATTCGAACCGGTTCCTCCTGAGCGTTATGGATATATAATAAACCTGACAACTTTCGCTTCCAAAGCTTAGGTTTGAGAATCAGTCTGAGACTGAGGTTGTCCAAAAATATCTTCATCAATAAGAAGCATGATTTTCGTGGGGGAACTCCAAGCTTGAGGTTTTGTGGCGCGAGTAAGGGGTAGCCACGGATTAATTGGGCCTCGAATATAGTAATAAGTATCAGTCTGTAGACGCTTTGCACAGCGGAAGCTACAAGCATCTTTACTAAGTCAATGTCAGTCCCCTCTCAGTGCGAAGGTTAACCTGGCGTTCACCTTACCTCCCACGTAACATCTTTTCATGTCCAGTCAGAGCTCACACCACAATGGAGGACAAGTGTGGTAATTGTGCATGCCACTTGTCTTCGCCTAATTGCACTAAAGAATTATTTTCCTTGTTATTTCGTGAAATGCAAACTAAACCCACAAATGTTTTAAAGAAAAGTTGTAGAAGGTGTGCTCTATATTTTGTAATGCTTCAACTTTTGTACAATAAGGAAGTTATACGGAAAATGTATAAGTTACTATCAACTGTGTGGGCCTCAAACATGGCGTCATTGTGCGTTATGCATTTCGTACAAAGAAAGCATTAAAAGGTGTGGCAGTTGCACTGGTTTAAGTCTGGCTAAACGGCTTGGGGCCTTGAATGGCAGAACAGTTTCGAGGTCACATTGTGGACTTATTTTGTCACACACGGAAATGATATTTCTCCTGGACATATTCATGGAGAAGTTTCCGTCTTGAAAAGATTATGTCTGTTCAACCAGTTAAGACATTTCATGCCTTTTATTAAAGCTGACGATTCATTACCACGCTATAGAAATCTCAACAATGTTGTCTAACCTGTGTCATTTGAATTCACTAAGTACACCCACGCCATCTTGCTTTGCGGATCATTTCAATAAAAATCCTCCTGTCGGTGCCTGCATCTTTTCTTCAGGGTTTCAAACAGAAATACTGCGTTCATAAACTGAAATTCCCTCATCTTGTCTTAGAGAGACTAGATTTCACATCCATATGGAACAGTTCTTCAGAGTCGTGAAAGCAGTGTGCTACTTCGGATAGGTTTCAGAACTGATCATGTCGTAATTAGTTTCAGTGTATACAATCTAAAAGGTTTGTTTGCGTCTTGCATTTACAGCGGCGTTTGGTGAAGCATTCGACGAAATTGTAGTGCAGTCCACTTTAACAGTCAGAGGTAAAGGAGGATCGTCTCGACAGAGCAGGAACAAAAATATCACATTAAACAGCACATCTTCAAGTACTCCTACTCCTGCAACAGATGGCAGCACGGTCGTTGAGCCTAAACGCTCGAAGCGGGAGAGTTCTGAACTATATGCACCAAGGTACGCGACGAGCAGATCAGTTGATAAGCTTACTGTCACTTTCCCTAACAACATTTTGTCTCGTGCTTCAGCTAACACAACTTCAGGAATCAGAGAGGGATTTTCAAGCTGTTATTTTAGTCCGTTACAGTATTTCCATGGTAACTTGAAACTAGTACAGCTCAGAAGCCGCAAAAAAGTTGTATTCAACTGCTGATTGATGTTTTATATGTAAACATTCTGTGTCAATGCTCAATGTCTCGCAGAAGGAACACATTAGATACGTAAGGATTCGTCCCTCACCAGATAATACACAAAACAATCGTCTAAGTATCTAGTAGGTCGTGCAATAGCACAGGCGTTTAGTAGCTAGATTCGATAATACACAAAACAATCGTCTAAGTACCTAGTAGGTCGTCCAATAGCACAGGCGTTTAGTAGCCAGATTTCACCCTGGAGGCCCTGGATTAATTCTTAGGGCAGTCCATGCGAGATTTGTGGTGGACAAATTGACGCTAGGACAGGGTTTTCTCAGAGTCCTTCGGTTTTCCCCTGTCAGTATGATTTTATCCTTGATCCATATTCTTTTGCGCATCGTCTGGGGGATGGACAATAGACCCATTAGCAGACGTAGTTACACAAAGACATGATCCAGCCCAATCGAAGCAAGAAATAAAGTAAGTATCTGTAAAGTTGGACAATAGTAAGCGGGCATACAGACAAGTTTCGGCCTTGTCTATTTGGCCCTATAAGGAATCCTGTCGAGTCCAGAGGGTGAAGAAATAGCCTAATAAAAACAGAATTATTACTTTCTTTCAGGGTCTCGAATACGAACTTAGCTCGTCCTTCAGGTCGGGTATTTCAGGTTACAGACCTGTTTGGTAGAAACTTAGCATCTCCAGGAGGGTTACTAGAAGACAACAGACCTTGAAGAGGCCCTGAGTTACCTCATCACATCCAGATCGACGTGCAAGTTGTATATTACGGTAATGTATGATACAATGATTCATGTACTTTCTGCCAAACATCAACACAGATATGACGCGTATCGTGGTCACTTGGTCAACTGAACATTATAGATGTTCGATCGATCCTTACATACAACTCGAAAGTTCGTGAAGTTAAAATAAATCTGAATAGTATTTCTGTTTTATAGGCGATAAGAAAATGTCTGGGGATTAAGAAGGAATCGAGGAATGATGAAAAGAGTATGAAGTTCTGCGGTCAGGACTACCAACTTAACAGATGTATGAAAAATCAATATTAGTGCCAAGAACGGAATTATCGACAGTTTAAAGATCGAAAACTCTTGCATTCTGATTAAGCACTGTCGGAGGGACTTACATATTAGGAGTTATATTGCAGACAATTTCTGTTTTAGAAAATTTAACACCATTAGAGTCGTCATGTAGGTTTGGTATCAGGACGTATAAACCTACAGAACATTAAACCCAGTTATTATCCTAAACATTTATTCAATTATAACAAAATCATCACTTAGTAGTTTAGAAGAAGTATCGGATTTGTGTGATTTTCTGTCGCAGAATACTGATTACAAAACACAATGATTATCAGTGGGCAGAGTTTTAATACAAAATTAAGAATGTGTTGATAACGGGGACTCCATACGCATTCGAAATAATAAAATTCAATAAGATAACAAACCTACTTTCTTTTAAAATGACAGTCTTGTGGGTTGTTATGCCATGTAATCTGATAAAGTTTACCAACGTTTCAGAGGAGTCAGCGCCCAGTAGATAGAAGCAGCAAGGCCCTCTGAAACACTGGTAAACTTCTACTAGACTACACGGCGCTACAACCCAGAATACAGCCATCTCCAGATTCACCGCCTTGAAAACCTTAATAATTACATCATTTCTTTTACTATTTATGTAAACAATGGCCATTTGTGTACCCCATCTACCTGTAACTTCAAACACATTGCTCTATCGTTTGTTTTTAATTTTAACAGAAAAAATTTCACATTCGCGAAAAAGAACTGTTAAGAAACTTGCTTAAAATTTTGAACCTGGTTGTACGGACATGCGGACAAACAGTCTGCTGCAACACGATTCCTACCATCATTTTACGTGCATTGCCAGACACAGATATGTCGGCTTATGCGTCTCAAGTACAATCCTGTGGCGTTTCTAGGTATCCGCGTAACGAGTGACGATTTGCTTCTCCACACGTAAGGGAGAGAGAAAAATTAACATACGGTCACGTATAGGCCAATAGACGTTTGGGTGGCAGACAGGCAGGAACTTGTACGTGGCTGGCACTGAGACTCGTTTTCTGTTAGTTACACGAATCCAGTTCTTCTTCAGTCAATCAGACATCACGGTGAAACGGTTTGCAAACCTCACAGAGACCGGCTACCAAAAATATTATTATCGTGGTTTCCGTCAGTTTAAGCACGAAACTAAACGATTACTTTTTAAAAAAACAGAGCACGACGCATGCTTTCAAACCGCTGAAATGTGTCCAACGAGAAATGAAATCTAGTAGGTCTAATCATGGTGTACACTGCCGCCATATTGGTTTTAATGGTGGTGGGAAATGTAAAGGGTAAACACGAGTTAGCATCCTATGGCATGGCGTATGCTTCAGTTTTCATGAAAATACATAACTTTATTCAAAAGTTATTAGAGTTAACATGCAAACATGATGTTGCTGCAAGCGTATCTCTCCTTACCTAACAAGGAAAGAATACAACCCGGTAATTCGTACAGGAAATGGGTTCATGATAAAGACTTCGCGATATACCTTTTTATTTGAGACGTTTATCTGTTGGCGTATTACATGGACTAGCCCTATATTTTATACTTACAATAAAAATACAAGTGTTTATGCGTCTAGGCCTATGCAACTTAATGTTTCTTGTTCTGATTAAATTTCCCAGCAACATAATTTTTGCCTATAAGAATATCGATTGCAGATTATGTCTACCAAAAAATCTCTCCACAAGAATGACGTGACAGTACCTTGAAACAGGCGACGATAACCTCCCTTTTAATCAATGACACATTCATCTCATGTGACGCTCCATTCCAAATCTAGTTAGAACAGCGTCATTAAAACCCAAAGAGTCAATCTTGATTATCTTCGTGCATTTAACGCCTTCTGAACTGCACTCACTATTTCGCGCCGAATTGGAGACAGACTGGAATGTAGAAAATAAGTCAATGCGGAAAAA